ATTTCTTCTTTTGGTTTATATATTTCTTTTTAGCTATTTTTTAGAATTTCTGATTAAAGTATTAGAGTTTAAACTGATTTTGACAATGCTCTCTTGTTTTTTTTAGAACTTTCTCTGGGTCAATAATAAGCTCTCATTGAAGATCTTTGTTTACTAACAGTCTATCGATTCAAATTTTTCTAAAGTGTTTCTTTAACAGACTTGCATTATTTGTCTTGTTTTCTATTGATCATCTGGTATTTTTTTTAATATTATTCTCTATTTTGGTTCTTTTTTGTTGCTTAGTCTTATTAGCCCTTTTTGCAAAGAGTATTTTCTACCAACCTTTAAGATTATCAATTAAATCATATAACCAAGTAGATATGGTCTTGTTAATGTTTATTCTGTGTTGCTGGTTTATAAATTCTATTTCTGTAATAAGATCTAAGATGTTTTTAAACAAAAAGCCTAACTTAATATTTTTCTTCCTATATTTATCTATCTACCCAATTGCATTAGGGAGTATGATAGTTTAGACTTTTTGGTATATTTCTTCTTATTTTGTATTGTATTACAAATTTTCTTTTTTAACAAATTGTATCTTGCCACTACAAGTATTGCTTTACTTATATTATCCCAAAGATCATCTAGTTCTGAAAATATTTCTTTTTGCTGCTAAGTTTTTTTCAACAACCACAGTATACTTGTGCTTTTCTAAAGCAAACTATCTATTTGTTTTCTGTAATCTTCTCAGTTTTCTTTAGATATTTTGCCACAAAGAAAAACTGTTTGTGTTTATTTATTTCTTCTATATATTGCAACTTATTAATATTTAATAAATTGCATCTTGCTACTACAAGTATTGCTTTACTTATATTATCCCAAAGATTATCTAGTTCTGAAAATATTTCTTTTGCTGCTGAGTTTTTTTTAACAACTACAGTATACTTGTGCTTTTCTGAAGCAAACTATCTATTTGTTTTCTGTAATCTTCTTAGTTTTCTTTAGATATTTTGCTACAGAGAAAAATTGTTTGTGTTTGTTTATTTCTTCTGTATATTGCAACTTATTAATATTTATTAATTTTTTAGATATTCTTTTTTGGATAAATCTAAATAGTACCCCAGATCATTTTGTGTTTCTATAGCAAAATTAAGTCTGCAATAGTAATTAGGTTAGGTTTAAGGTTAAATTTAAGTTTAGGTTTAGGTTTAGAGTAAGGGCAGTGTCATTTATTACTTGATTTTTTTTTATCAAAGGCTTACTCCCTTCCCCCTCTTATTATAAAAAAAAATCAGGTTCTTATATATAATTTTAACTTTTTTTACCTCTTCCCCTTAAAAAATTACCTGATTTTTGTCATGTTTTTAAAGTAAAATTGTGAGAGAAATATTTTTGCTTATATTATATGACAAGGTTATCTAGTCAAAATTTTGTGATATTGGTGATTTTATAGTAAAGAGCACAAAGTATATGAAGTATTGTCTAGTTGTATTTTTTTTTTTAAAAAAAATTTTTTTAACATGTCCTGCTACTATTTTATTAAAATATAAACTAAGTAAAAATTACAAGAATTTTAACTATAGCTATTACTTATCTAACCACTCACTTGACTTCAACAATCCAGATATAATATTGTTTAGTAGCTCTTTGTTTTCCTCTAAGTCTCTAATTTTTTAAAGATATAAATTCTTTAATTATTGACTAGTGTCATATGCTATATTAGTATTATCTTTTCTTTTTATCTCTTAAATCATAAATTTTAGCAGGCAAATTTGCTCGCTAAAAATAGTTAAAAAAAAAAATTACTATTGTAAAAAAATTTTTTATAGAAATTTTCATGCAAATCAATCAGATTAACTTCCAAAATGTCAGAGCACGTGAGATGAGCCATAGCTTTATTGTATTGTATTACCATGTAATCAAAGTAAAAGCACAAGTTTAAGTTATACAAAATATGCCTTTTTGAAACTATAAAATTATGCTATATGACTCAAATTTTGGATCATCATAGCCAATTAGACCCTAACATATTTAGTTAAAATAAATTTAACTGATATGACCTACATATTTAGTAACTAAAAATAATATTACATTATTAAATATTCATGAAGTCAATTAAAACCAACTTTGTGTATTCTTAAATACCTTAATCTGAAAATTTTTGGTTTGCAAGAAAAAAAATAAAAAAAATAAAATAATAAATAAAAAAAATAAATAAAATAAATAAAATTTTACATATTTACTATATATTATTCCAATTATTAAATAATTTATTTGCGAATATATTGCGATAAAATAGTTTTATTAATTAAACATTAAATTATCATGGTGCAAAAAATTTCATATGATCAATTTATGAGATCATAATTAATATTGTTGATCTATCATATCAATATTTTTTTATATTTAAAAACACTTTTTATTTTTCAGTATAGTACTCAATAAAACAATTTTAGGTATTATTACAATATAGGGTTATATTACAAATAATACACCAATTCTGATTTTGGTGGGGGGTTTTATAATCCATTACAATATTTTTTTGCTTGCTAGCTAGGCATACACAGGCATGCTTCATGTGTTTTTCTCTATTCTGCCAAGTGATGTTCAGATATTAACCGTTGATCTGAAAGTTTAAACTTTTTTGTAACTTTCGGCCACTTCATTTTTGAATCTTTTGTTTCTTTTTTCACTTTTAATTGAATCTCACCAGTATTATTTGCAGATTCAATAAAGCTCCAAATCAGCTCATACCAAAATTCCTTATGTTCTTGTTTAGATTTTAAAGTTTAACCGATTAGATATGAGTTAACAATTGCTATATCTAGCAATCAAAAAAAAAGTAGTATCCAATTTCATCACATTGTTTGTTGCATGTTATAATAGAATCGTAATTGATTAGCAATATCTATACCATTCATATTGTTGTTGTAATTATCAATTATTTTGGGTATTTTCAATAATTTTTTTGATTCTAATCCAAATACTGAACGTATCTTTGCTGTATTCGTACTTGTTTCGCTTGATCGTCACCGTATTCGTTCTATTTCTCATTCTTTATCAGCAAGATAGTGAATTGTTGATAGCATTGTTACCAGCCCGTTATTCTGTCAAAAGACAGCTAATACCTCATTTACTACAACTTCAGAGCAAATATCCCAATCAAACTTACTATTTTTATTTATCTTCAGTTTTTTGAGAAATCTTGAGGCTGTTTTACAAACTGTTCCACAAGCTCTAATACAAATTTTCCAGAAATTTTAAAAAAGAAACATGCTACTAAAATAATTATCTATGTAAATATTGTATGGAACTTGATGATACAGAAGTTGCTCAATGAGATGAAAGACTAAACACCTGACTTGGCTAAGACCACTCACTTTTACTATATCGTTTAGAAAAATACGTGATATTGGTAAGAAAGTGTAGGTGTATCCTGAATCACATAGTAAGAAAATTTTGAAACCCTCTAGTATGGGCTTGTTTTTTATTCAGACTATGTAAATACTTCTGCTAGAAAACTAGACCATCATTTTATCTACTAACACATTCAAACCTGATACATAATATTATTTCGAAGCATCCTGAACATATGAAAGCAACAGCTTTACCTTTTCAAAATAATTTGTAATTATTGAGGAGAGGAAAGAAACATGCAGAAACCTTTTTATCTGTTCAAAGTATGACAAAGACATTTGCTTTGAAATATGGTAAATGGGAAGTTTTTGATTCTCATTCTAGTACTGGTTGAGAAAAAGTATTTTAAAAAGTCTATGATAAATAATGAGAGCTATCCAAATAACAAGCTCTTTATGAGTTATATCCTGCCAACCTCTACCAGAAATATCAGCATTCTTTGCTAATGCATACAGGTTCGTATTGACAACTATTGTGTCTAATATTGTACTTGTAAAAAAAGAAAAAAAAATCTACTGCTTTGGAGACACCAACATCAAAATGCGGTGGCAACCTTATATTTGTCCTACACAATAGACTTGAATGAACAAACCATTGAAAGTTAGAAGGTGATGGTAGGAGTTTTTTTTGTGTAGTCTCTTTTGATTTACGTTGTCTTTTACAAGAACTTTCAGTATCTATTTCTGTAGCATCCTGTTCATTATTATCTGATTTCAGGTCATCAATTAAAGAATGCCAACAAAATATCAAAATTGGTATGAATTCTTCTTCTTCTTCTTCATTGGTATATTCTTCTTCACCTTCAAAAGGAGACAAAAATGACAAATTCAAAGCTAAGCCCGAAGATGACGAACTTGAAGATGCAAAGTCTGTAAATAATATATTAGCTTTATGTTTAGAAGACATTACTGTGAGAATTTTTTTTTTCATACTGTCATTGATTATGTATCAAGTTACTTATGTATGTATATTATTATCTTTGGATTAGCATTACATCATATATATGAAAAATACTGTGAAAAAAAATTTATGGATAATCAATTGATATGATAAGTTTCATTTGAGGTTAGTAAAGGGGGGAAGTTTAGAAAAATTAGGAGTAATTATGTAAAAATGGTGCAAAAAAAATTTTAGCAAGCAAATTTGCCTATATTACGGTTTAAAAGATAGTAATGAATATATATATAAATTCAAAGAGCAAAACAAAAAAAAAAGAGAGATACTTTAATATTCAAATTTAATTTATCTAAACAAATAAAATTAAAAAAAACAAAACAAAACAAAAACAAAATAAAAAAAAACAAAGATAGTATTATTAAATCTATACAAGATTATAAATAATCTAGTCAAGATTTATATTAGTTATTTATATTTAAGATATAAAAATATAATCAAAACCATCTATTCTTGAATAGAGGTCTAAGTTTAAAATTTTTATTTTGTTCTACTTTATTCTTATTAAAACTTCTACAATACTACTCAAGTATAGTTTTTTTTTGTTTGAGTCCTTATATACTCAACTAAATTAAAACTTTTGTTACAACTCCTAGAAGACAAAAGATTGAATATACTATTTATTTCAAAGTAAATATATATATATGTGTATTTTTTTTTGATAACAATTATTGGTGTTAATTTTTTGATAGAAATATACCAAATTTTTTGTTTTTTGATAAAATTTTAAAAACTTAATAAGTAAAGTAGTAAAAAAAAACTTGTTTTGTGAATAGCTTTAAACTTTAATAAAGAGTATATTAAAAACTTATTTGTTGTTCTTTTTTAGACCAACTATTTTACTTTGTCAATAGAAACCATATTTCTATTAAAATTTTCTGTATAAAGGTATTAATTATCTTGTACAAAAATATTTTTAACTTGCTTGCTAAATATACAAAAGAGGTTAGAAAACAAAAAAAAAGCTATAATCTCTATAAAAACTATTACTTGTAGTTGTTTCTTCTATTTTTTTTAACAAATTTTTGTTTTTATTAGTTGTAAGTTTGGTATAAGTAATTATCAAGAAAAGTTTTTAAATATAATATCTTCTTTTAATTTTCTTATTTATATTTATACTGTTTTTAAATTATATAGTATTTAATATATAGACTAATTACTAAAAAAAAGACAAAATTGATAATTTTTTTAAAAGATATTTTTTTATATAAAACAATTTAAAATAAAATTAAGATCATTTTTTATTTAAAATATAAAAAAGTTGTATTAATAAAATTTTGCAGTATAGTTCTTTAAAATTTGTATTTTTTTATAGTTTATTATAAGATTTATAATATAAAAATTAATTTTTCAAGAGTATAATAATTTAGTAAAGTAGTTAAATTGTTATATTCTCAAGTAATATATTAACAGATTAGAGTTTAAAATCTACTATTGATAATATTTTAAATATTTTGCTAGTATAATAGCTACTATCTTTTATTAATTAATTAAAACAAAATTTTTGTAACTTTATTTTTTTTTTCAATATTAAAGTGATCTCTCTGTCATGTTTCTTTATTCAGTTATAGTTTTAATTTTTACAGAATGATTTCATACTATATACATATTTGAAAAGCATAACTAGCTATACATATAACTTTTGGTTATCTATTTAAGTAGTCTACTTATTACTAAGTTCTATACTAGATATCATACCTATCCCTTAAACCGTCTATTTAAGCGGGCAAATTTGCCCGCTTAAATTGTTAAACAATTTTTAAATAGAATAAAAAAAAAAATTATGAAAATCTTTGCTTAAATTGTCTAGGGTAG